TTTTCATTTCTATTTAATTTGTTACAGAATCTTATCAACTTAAAAGTGATCAGTCTTCGTTCCTGCTATGATCTAACTGAAGTTCCAAATCTCTCTCGGAGTCAAAAAATTGAGTGGATAGATCTTTATGGCTGTCACAGATTGGTTGAAATTCCTTCGTATTTTAAATATCTTGACAAGCTTACAAATCTTGAACTTGGGAAGTGCAGAGAGCTCAAAACTCTTCCGGATATGCCATGTAATGTTGAATTCTTAGGTTTATCTAGGACAGCAATAGAGGAATTGCCTTCATCAGTTTGGTCTCACGAAAAAATATCTGAGCTTGATATTAGATATTGTAGAGACCTTAAGAGTCTTCCAAGCAGCAGTCGTAAGCCAAATGTGTCAGGTACTTTTAGTCTATGTGGCTGCAAATCTCTTTGCGAGTTTCCGGAGCTTCCCAGGAATACAACAGTGGTAGATTTGAGTAAGACAGGAATAAAAGAATTGCCGTCATCAATCAAGTTTGTCTTTGGTCTCACTACAATTAAACTGGTCGCTTGCAAAAGCCTTGTGAGTCTCCCAATGAACATTTGGAATTTGAAATCTTTGGAGAGCCTTGATCTCAGTCGTTGCTCTAACTTTCAACACTTGCCAAAAATTTCAGAGCCTATGGAACATCTGGAGTTTCTAAATTTATCAGGTACAGCGGTTGAAGAGCTACTGCCATCAGTTGGAAATCTAGTTGCACTTCAATACTTAGATCTGCACAAGTGCAAGAACCTTGAGGTCGTCCCAAACAGCATCTACAATTTAAGCAATCTTAAAACTCTCTGGTTTAATGGCTGTTCGGAACTGAAGAAATTGCCTCCCGTCTTAATAGACCAAGTCGGATTGGTATCTCTGGAAGCACTAAACCTCGCTAAGTGCAGTATAGTAGAAATCCCTGATGGCCTTGTTTGCTTAACCTCATTACAATATTTAAATCTGAGAGAGACCAACATTAAGAGCATACCTGCAAGCATCAAACACGCTGCTCACCTGTCTTGCCTTTTCTTAACCAATTGCAAGAGCCTTGAATCTTTACCAGAGCTCCCCCCACTGTTGCAACATCTTGAAGCACATGGTTGCACGTCACTGAAGACAGTCTCAAGTTCAAGCACTGCACTCGCACAAGGTTGGGGCGAATATATATTTTATCCAGGGCTTCATGAGAACTATATATTTTCTAGTTGCACAAAGTTGGATCAGAATGCACAAAGCAACATAATGGTTGATGCACAGCTCAGAATTATGCGAATGGCAATTGCGTGGTCAAAGTTTAAAGAAGAACAAATTGAACAAGCATCATATGATTCAGATGATGATTATGATTCAGAGGATTATGATTCAGATGATTATGATTCAGATGATTATGATTCAGAGGAAAATGAAATGATTAAGGTCTCTATATCTCTTTCTTTCTTTCTTTGTTTCTCTCTCTATCTACCTCACGCATACACTCTCTCTGTCTCACTCACTTCTGTGGAAAATTTTACACGAGTTTAATAAATAAGATGTCCATTCATGCTACAGGAAACTTCCGTTGCCATTACATGTTGCGGGTATGAAATTCCAAATTGGTTCAGCCATCAAAGTGAGGGATCTTCAATAAACATCAAGCTTCCTCCTCATTGGTTTAGCTCAGATTTCTTGGGTTTCGCTCTATCTCTTGTTATTGCATTCAACAAGGATCACCCTAGATTATTTATGTTGATTCGATGCAAGTACAACTTCAAAACTAGTAATGGTGAAAGCCATGAAATCAACCGTCCTTTGTACCTGCATACGAATATTGGAAGCTCAGAGCTCCATCAGGTGTATGTGTGGTGGTCTAATAATGTGTTTGAAGAAGTTGTAGACGGAGCTCAAAGCCCCACTGCGTTTTACAAACTTGTTACTGAGGTCTATGTTGACTTCAGCGTACTGGGTTTTGCCAACAAACAGGAGGAGTTGGAGGTGGAAAAGTGTGGGATTTGTTTGTTGTATGCCCAAGATGCTGAGAGCATAAAAAAGAGGATTTTTATTTGAGCTTTTACAAGCCTTGTGGCTGAGGATGCTTATGCTTAGGGATGTCGCTTGTACAAAAAATTTAAAACTAGAGGGGAATCCAGTCTAGTCTCCTTGTAACTAATTCAGTATGAAAAGAACTTGTATCCCTAAATTCAATTTTTTTTTGTTTCATTTTCTCGTTTTCATTCTCATAAAATATTCTCAGAAAACATTATCCGAAACGTTACCGAACGGGCCCTTACAATTTTTGCATATGACAAAGGAATATACTCAACATATTTTTACCAGCCACATTTTTTTCTTTTGAGTGCAAGTAACAACAACCCAATCACTCGCAAACTTGACGAATATTTTCTTTCGAGTCCATATATGTCACCATCACTATAGAATTTCACTTGAAATTAGACGTTATCTAAATCACTGTTGGGAAACAAAAGAACCCAAACATCAGTGGGCCCTAAAATCCTGATGGGAAGTGGCAAAAATGGACTGTGGGCTCAGCAAGGACATGAGGCCCAAATTAAAAAAGGTAGCACCTCTCAAATTAAGGCCCAAAGTAATCTGCCTTCATTTGTTTTTTGGAGCATTTTCTTTCTGCAATCTTCGGCAAAATAAAGACCAATAAATTTCTTTTTGGAGCAGCTTCCTCTCCTCTGCACCCTGTGCAAATTATCTACTGATTCAAACACGAAAGCTACCAAAATCGCCTAATACTGAATGGATTAATAATGCTATAAGGAATATTTAGGGATCCCCGATCTAACAAGAAGATCTAGACTGAGAACAGAGCCAGAATGAACAGAGGATAAGTAAACAAAGAAGTCAAGTGCACCAATCAACTCTCCACATTCACATTACAGGCCAAAAAATTACTTCAAGACATTCAAAACTGAAAAACAAACATCAACACTAGACTCTGCAAGATTTAAAAGTCGCAGACAAGTAGTGAATCGTTAACAAATGTAAGAACATCTATCGATATGGTTGCAAACAAGCAGTGAATCATATTAAAAGGGGTAAAATGAAGGCAGGCTAACTGTGGCACAAGTTTAACTCCGTACTCTATTCTGGTAAAGCTCAAAATGTAGAATTTGGGAACCTGCACTGCACTACCAGTAGGTTTCATCATAACCACAAAACATAACAAAATGTAGAATTTGGGAACCTAAAAGAAACTAGGCAAACTTTACAGAGCCTAATTATGAGCTAAATTTGAGCATCTAAGACAACCCGTTTCTAACCGAAATCGCATGACAATCTCAAAAATTTGACAGCCATGCGATGCAAGTTAGCCTCGACTAACTTGTTGCTTTCGGTCCATTGACATTGTTGGTCATGCTGTACATGGTTCTAACTGGTTGAACAGGTACTTGCTTTGGTTGCTCCGCTATCTTGTCCAGGTCAACTTGCTGGTCACGGCACTCTGGGGAACAAAATGCACGAAAGGGACTGCACGCCACCATTTCAAGTCAAAAAACACACAAAATTCAAAAATTTCAGTAAATTTGATGACACGGGAAATAGAAACAACTGTGAAATGATCATAGTTCACATAACATTTATAATTGAGATCGAAAAACAAATGAAATGCAAACAACAAAAGAATTATAAATTACAACTCAAATTTGTATTCTTTTAAATTTAATTCCTTGTTTTTCTTTTCTCAGCAACCAAACAGAGAGCAAACAATTACGCAACAGAAAAAATATTTCAAAATGAAAAGAAATCAGAGAGATAAATAAGGAAAGAAACCTTACCCACACATGAACACGTCCTCATTGTGAGGGAGCCTCCGGCGACAAAAGTAGCAGTGGTCAAGGAACTTATCGACCTGCGCCTCGCGTCCCATCGTCACAATCTCCGGCGACGACATCGTCAGAACCGACGGCGGAGACTGCACAGCCTCCGACGACGGCTTCAGAGCCTTCGCGCCATTACCGAAAGCCGTACGGACGTGGAGCCGGGAATCGGAGGACTCGGCCGACGGGGGCGGAAGGAGGCCGGTGTCGCTGGAGCTCGACGAGTGACCAATGCGGGAGCGTTTGGCGGACATTGAAGATGGCTAGGGATTTGGAAGGGGAAGAGAGAGAAGCGAATTTGGGGTTTTTGAGAGGTTTGTGAGTGTAAGGAACAAACAGCTCTGAGAGACAGAGTACGGGGCTTTTGCTTTCTTCATGGTGCGGTGTATTTATATGGTTGCGGTACGTCACTGTGTTAAATTGTGTACCCGCCTAAAGCTCAAATTCTTGACAACAACGCGTCTTTTATTTATTTAATTAATATTTAACTCAGAAAAACAGAAAAAGAAAACAAGAAAAAAGTAACGCGGTGATATTATAAGGGCGTGGACTGAATTAAATTAGGCCAGCTTGGATTGTTATTAACAAGATCAAATAGTTATTCTCTAATGATTCTTTTGTGAGGAATTTGTGGTTATACTCAACTCAAATAGCTTCTTTGCGTTAAGTATTTTATAATGAAAGTTTATATTAGGGAAATTGTTTTTTATTTTTTTGTTCAAACAAAGAATATTCTAAACGTCTATAATCTGCGGGAATGAAAATTCGAACTAATGTTTAGGTATAGTTAAAATAGAAGTCTAAAATAGTATATTTTAGAAATAGAAATTCGAAGCCTAAAATATTATATTTTAGGTATAAAAACAGGATCGACAAAGAATCTTCACTCACCAGAATGTTAGAATTTACCTTCTCCTAAATGAATAATTGACGGTGGATGTGTAATGGCTGAGTCATCTTATGCATAACTTTGGGAATTCATTCACATCAAATCTCCTAGTCGATTTTTGTTCATAAACCACCAAGATTTTAAATGTATATACATACTTCTTCACCTATTAAAGGTTGTTAAATAAGCAAATCAATCAATCAAATGAGAAATTATGTGGATTAAGAAATAAGTTTAGTTTAAAATTGTAGTTTCCTCAAACAAGGCTAGGTGATGATCCAGACATAAACTCTAGCCTTTTCTCATTCTGGGTGAAGAACTAATTAACACAGATAACCAAGAACTATAGTGTCTTCTACTTCTTCTCAAGTTCATTGGATCAAAGCTGAGGCATGTATGAAGCTGATAAGAAGATAGTTTCCTCAACACACACCTACCCAATTCTTAAACGCTAAAGCTGCTTCCCTCTTTTTAAGCTGAGATTCTGTCTGGAATTTGGGAGCCTTGCCCTTGTAACTTGTTCTATGGTACTTCAAGAAGAGTGTTCGGTACTTGTACTTATCGATGAACATTTTCCCTTTCTCCATAATTTCCACCACTTCATTTGCTCGACTGAAGAATCCGCCCCTCACGAACGTGTAAAGAACAGAATCCAGGAGTTCCTGATCAAATTTCATTGAGGTGGCAGAAGCAATAGACTTCATCTCCCCCCACAGCTCCGTCACCTCTATATATTTTCCTCCTATAGCAGCATAGCCTGTGACCATAGAATGGAAAGTTTGAGCATTCGGGGCATGCCCCAAACTTCTCATCTTCGTCAGAGCTTTCTCTGCATCCTGCATCAATCTCTTCTTGCAGAAAAAATGGATTATGCTGTTCCAGTCGTGAACCCCGGAATCCATTGTCTGTCCTTCCTTGATTTCCTGCAAGAGCTTTGCCATCAACCTAGGTTCACCACCTTCTCCTGCACATTCGTTTACCAACCTTTCGAACTCCTGATGACCAGCTCTTGGTATCTTCGCCTCTTTCATCTCTTGGTACAAATGGAGGGCCCCCTGTGTATCATTTTGAAGCACCCTAGATTGGATCAATGCCTCATAAGAGCTTGAGTCTAGCTGGATACCTCCCTTACGAGCATCTCTTAAAAGCGATGCTGCGTTTCCTGCTTGGTTTGCTTCACAATATGCTTTTAGAAGAGAGGAGTACACAGAAGAACCAGTTCTTACACCAGCCAAGCACATCTCATCAAGAAGGTCATGTGCTTTATCTAACCATCCAAGTGATATGCATGAATTAATGACATGAACCAAGGCAGAATCATCATTGGAAGCTGGGGAATCTTCTTTATCTGCCTTTATAAGAAACTCTGCCAAATCCTTGGTCTTGTCCGCTTCTAGAAAGGCCTTAACTAATTTCACAAATATTTTTTCAGTTGGCTGGAGGATACCGCGGTCTGTTGTTATCAATTCAACTTGGCTCTGCAACTTAGCTAACACTACACCAAGCACTTCCTTTGCCTCAGCCTCAAGTCTCAAGAAATTTCTATCCATAGAAAACTCCTCATAAGATACTAAAGGACTACTAATATGACCATATGATTCTCCAGAGCTCGTACTTTTCCTGGATCCAAAACCCGATCCAAGAGGGGACTTATTTCCCCTTCCAGTAGCGTCAAATACCAGTGTTGCTAATGCAAGAGAATTTCTTGCTTCTTTTGCTTTCCGTAGCATTTCCAAGACCATGTTGGATGCAGAATCTAGATCCCTGAATTTCAAATGGCATGTCAGCAAGCAATTGTAGAACTGCCGGAACTGAATATCACTTAGGTTAGGGGATTCATCGATGTATCTTTGAAGTTTACTAAGCTCATCTCTTCGTCCATTTGTCTCATATATTTGTGCCATTAATATCAATAAGTTAGCATCAGTTTTGACACCAACTCGAGGCATCATGTCAAGGAGCTGCTCTGCTTTCCTAGTTGTCCCAAACATGAGACAGCCAGCCAAAGCAATGTTGAAAGCAGTAGTATTCGGCTTCATAGCAATCAAAGGTGCATTAGACTTCTTACGTGGGTCGATCCTATTATCTTGGAACAAGTAACCAATCTCAATTATCAACTCAGCAGCAAGGTAAGCCCCTTGAGCTGTTTGAGACATGTGAGCCAAGATAGCAGACCAGGCAGCAACAGGCGGAAACTGTTCCATTTCTACCATCTTTCTCAAAACAGTCGACGCAGGAATGGGTAATCCAGCTTTGGCAAGACCCAAAGAGAGATAAATCAGTGTCTCCTTCTCTAACAAGTTCTGTCTGCTTTTCTCAATAGCCTGTTCTACCAACCCATAAGCCCTCTCAAGCCACTGAACATAAAAGCTTTCTACAAAACTTGTTAAGAGCTTATTGACAACAGATTTCCTAAGAAACCCTTCCATCTGCATATGCTGCTCATGCAACTTCCATGCATCATTTAGTCTGTGCTCATCAATTGCACTTTGTATCTCCATGGTTAATTTAGCTGGGTCTCGAGCCTGGACCAAGATTGTTCCCGCCACAGTTGAAAAGAAGTTTACTTTAAGTGTAAATTGATCTGGAAATCTCAAAATAGCATCTCGTACATTTGAGTTGGCCAAAGAAGAAGCGCCAACGAACCCAGAAACAGGCCCGGCATTTGAATAAGCTCGAAGCTGGGATTCAGAGACCCGAGCTATGCTATAACTAGCATCAGCAAGTGCAAGATATAAAACAGAAGGGCAAACTGAAGCTGTCCGATGGTTGAATTTCCATATATGAAGCATCTTATCCAGGCAGAAACATTTACCAATCAACTCACTACCAACAAAAACACCCTTCAATTTTTCTTGAAAGATACATTTTTTATAACACGGCGCCGAATTCCAAGTACAGAAGTAAGTAACCGAAGGCATGTAATCGGCCAATATCGTTGAGGCATTTTATCAAGCAGTTAATAATCAAACTGAGGTTGCAAGGAGAAGTGCAGTTTATTGGACGTGCAAGGAGAAGCTCAAGTACGCGAAAAGTGGAAATACTTACTGTTAATTTGGCTTTGGTATGTCCGCCAAGTTCGATAAGAAGATGAAATGCAAATATGCAGAAGAAGAAGTTGAAATTCAAATATCTAAACGTTTAAGAGAGGGAGGAGAGGAAGTGAGTGAAGTGAAGAGGGAAAGAGGCGGGTCGGTTTTGAGAAGAAGGATACCGTTGGTGCTATTCATGGACAAGTGGGCTGCTTTGACAAATATCATAGGGCCCATTTTATTTTTATTTTTATTTTTATAGAAAAGGGTCCATTTTTATTAATAGAATTCTTTTGTGTCAAATTTTTTTTATAAAAAAGTTAGGAAGGAATGGAAGGTTTTCTCACACATTGCCAAGTTACGATGTGATTTCTAACTTGAGATCACTGGTCTGCAAATCAAAGTCATTTTCCACTAAACTGCCAAGTTACGATGTGATTTCTAACTTGAGATCACTGGTCTGCAAATCAAAGTCATTTTCCACTAAACTGCTAAGCTACGATGTGATTTCTAACTTGAGACCACTGGTCTGCAAATCAAAGTCATTTTCCACTAAACTAAACCCCATCAGCTAATTCTTTTGTATAATTAAGTTTTCTTTTTCTCTTGTTTATAATTGGTTTAGAAAAAGAAAAAAAAAAGTCTTGATAAACCTAATTTTCTCTTTAGAGACCTGGGTTAAGATGATAGTTGGTTATGACAATGAGCTTGTGCAAGTTGCACAATTGCATAAAAAAATATATATACTTTTCTTTAATTTTAAGCCATTGAAATACAATAATAAACCATTTTTGGTTTTGTTTTTGTTTTCCTTTTCCTTTTGGGTGGGTGAGCCAAGCACGGCTTTGGCAAAAAAACCAAAAAAAAACAGAAAACCCAAGCAGGGCAGATATAATTATGCAGAAATCCAAATTTGTTGTGACCAACGTGACTTGGACATCTTATTGTGAACAAATTCTATTTCACATTGACTGATGTCTGCGAAGTCTTATTGCAAAGTCAGACTCAAATCCCTGAAGTTTTGTTTCAACAGGACTTTAAAAAAATATATAAACTTTCAAGCAAAAGCAAAACAAACCAAAACATACAACATGCTGTTAACTTAGCAGAAAGTCGTTCTCTTTATTTAAGGTTACAACCCAAAATTTACATAGGTAGACACAACAGATGCTCACCTTACCAGCAGGTTAATACATACAATATTATCTCAGAACCACAAAACTGCAGCAGCCTCTACTTAGGGCTTAACAAAAACGTCTACTTAGAAGACTTAAAAACTTCAAAGCCCTCCAACTCCCCCTTTTTTTCATGCATAAGCACGTCCATGTTCAGGCTGTTCATTTGGTCCCTCAAAGAAGAACTCATCGTCTTGGTTATTGAAGATGCGATCCACTTCTCTTGCAGGCACATTGAAAGCCAGCTCTTTGGCTTCCCTGTCAAACTGGCTCACCACATTCTTCTTCCCTGCCAGAGGGACCCTGATGTTGTCATGAGCATTGACCTCAAAGCAGATGATTTGCAGGTTATTGCTATTCCTCGACGCTATGGCTGTCACTGGGTGGCCAGCTGGTGCAACAAAAACCGCCCCACGCCTCAAGTTTCCGCTTATTTTCTGGTACCTTGGGCTGCTCTTCTGTCTCTGCTGCTGCTGCTGCTCTTGTCTTCCGGTTGAGCTAACATAAGGACATGCCATCTCAAAGTAGCCTTCTCCATCTAGCACAAAAGAGATCTTTGTGGCTCTCGAGTTGAAGTATGGGCCCACCATAGCCCCCTATATTACAAAACAAACATACAATTCATTGAGCTATTGATTTCATATAACTGTTGAATTGAATTGGGTTGAGAGAAATTTGAGTTGGGTTGTTTACTTGGGTTATGTTGGCGAAGGAGACGAGGAGGTCGAGGTCTTGAAGCTGCTTGAAGTCGTTGAAATCTGCTTCAAAGAGACGGCCAAATTTGTTTGCTTGGGAGGGATGCTTGCTGAAAAGGTTAAATGCATCACTTGATGATTGTCCACCATGGAAAGGCCAGAAGCCTTCGCATGTAGAATAAATCAAAAACTCAAGGCAGCTAACTCACGGACAAACAGACTGAACAACACAGCAAGCACACAGATAAAACCAAATAGTAATCAAGCAAGAAAACACTCACTCAATGAACACTCAATGAACTCACGCAGACACGGAAGAGAATAGAAGGAAGAAGACTAAAAACCAAGAAACTGATAAGCTTCGTTCACCTTCAATAATAATAGTTTTTACTACAACATTCTCATTACAAAGCAAGAGACCAACGTCTCTTTTAGAGACAAACTTTTAGTCAAAAGAGAAAAGTTCTATTGGGACAACAACCGACAGCATGGGTGAAATAACAGTAGCTCATTGAGCCAATAAACAAAATATACCACCCGACAGCATGCTCTCATGCTTTTACAAATAATAGATAAAGTAGCTTTGGATTCCTGCTTGGTTTAACTTTCAACAGCTTCCACCTTGGTCGTGCTGTTGGCTCAGTTTCTTAATTTGTTCTTCAGAGGCCCTGGTTATGCTGCCCTGCCTCTGCTGCCCAAATAGCCTCTCCAGCTTATTCATCTCTGTCTGTTTGATTACAATAAATCAAAATCATTAGCACAACAAATATGATTAATTTTCCAAATTAAAGAAAAAGCAAAATACTTCGTACCTTTAAAGCGGCTTGAAGCACTTGTGGGCTGAATGCTTTGAAAAACGATTCTGGGTTTTCACCACCAGCGGCATAAAATGCCTCGTACTCACCAGGAACAGAGACTGGCTTCATGAATTCGACAATGAAGAGCTTTTCATTCTCATCTCTGTTGACCATATAAAGAGGGGTACCTGGTGGAATTCTAAAGAGATCTCCACGTTCAAGATTATGGCTCTCTCTCTTCTCTCCCCTAACTATGGTAACGGTTGGTCGACCTTAATTCACATAAAAATACAAAATTAATCAAAGATAATAACAAAAACAGTTAATAAATTAAGACCCAAAATTTCTCTAGAGAACAATTATCAAACAGGTAAGCTACTTACCCTGGAAAACAAAGAGAACAGTATCAGCATCAAAATGGGATGGAGCTACAAATGCGTGTGGCTTAGTGTCAAGAAACCCAATTCGATAATTCTCAATGGCGCGCAAAAGATCCGACCTTTCAGTGAATTTCTGAAGAAGCCGAAATCTGCCTTCCTCTGTTTGAACTCTGGTCTCAAAATGCTCATCTTCGAAGAAGTAAGGATTTTGGTCTTGTTGTTGTCGACCCTGAAACTCCTTCTCCTCCTCTTGCTCACGTCCGGTCTCTGATATTGGATAAAAGCTTCCTCCTCCTCCTTCTCCTTCTGATCTCCTGTGTTTCTCTTCCTCCCTCTTCTGCTTGATGTATTTGTCACACCCTTGCTCACACTGTTCCCTCTGTTTTGAATCTAACCCTTGCTGGTGTTTGCACTGGTGCCTGCACTGCTTCAGCTCTGGGTCTTGCGTAGCAGAAGCTACATATACACTCAGAAACAGAACAGACAAGAGCAAGGCAACCAAAAGAAGCTTACTTTTCAACGCCATGGCTTTGTGTTTCAGACTTTCCTTGATTTCTTGATGAAGATGGTGAATGCAGGGGAGCCCTATAAAAAGGAAGAGATCGTGGAGATAAGGGAAGAAGGCTCGAGGGCATGCATGGCGACGAGTGTCCAATTTACGTGTCAAATGTTTAAAGTAGTTACCAAGCACTGGACATGTAGGCTTGTCATTGTGTCTTGTACCACTTTAAATGGGAACGACAAAAGGATTGAGGGGGTTTGGAGTTTTGATTTGATCTGCTTGCATTTGTGTCTGCGTAAAAAAGTCACCGTGTCCCACGTGATTCACATGGCGGTGGCATGTACGGACATGTAAACGCTAGCAAACAATTTTTGTTGACTTATCACTACGTTTTTTATTTTCTTTTCTTTTGGTCAGACTTCTCGATGATATACATAGAGAATTATGGTAAAATGGTTCAAAGTTATGAACTCTGTCTCAAATTTAAACAAGGAAACAAGATAATTAAGTAAATTGATGACCTTGAACCTAAGAAATAAATAACAAAAACAGAGCAGAAGTTTGGTACAAGAAATTCTTAAATCATTTTTGGCAAACATATGAGAACTAATATGCTCCCATTTTTATCTGCAACATCTTCCATCTGACATAGAATGAGTGGAAAATTAACTCTCTCAAAGTTCAGCCATGCCCTTCCCTGTTTTAGCATCATAAGTCTTCTCCAACACAGCATTCATAGGAGTATCCTTTGGACCCGCTGCAACCAAAGTTTATGATGAAAATTGTCAGCAGAAGATATGGCAAACAGACATTATCCTATTTTATTTTCGCCCTTTTACAAGTACCAACAAGAAAGTTATAGTTTTCGGGACTTGAGATAAGTACCAACAGTAGGTCTTGGAGTGGTTCTTATCTTCAAGATCTCAGGACGAGGGATTATAGATCCCGATGCCCCTATTCCTCTAGATACTCGAACTTTTGTTCCATCCTCAAGATATCTAACACCAACTTTACAAGCCCTCCTGCACAAGTAAAACAAAGAGAAAAACACCAAGGTGTGTCAAAACACAATGTTAAGAGTGCATGCCTGCCTACCCTTTCACAGGATCAACAAAGAACAAAATACTAACGATTTTCAAAACATAATGTTAAGAGTGCATCCATACCCTGTCACTGGATCAACAACTTGCACATTTGAGGCATGAAGAGGGGCTTCCACAGTAAATATCCCACCTTCATGACCTTGGCCTTGCTTGATATGTTTCTTTACCTGCAAAGACAAAGTACTTGTTCAGCGGCAAACAAAATCCACATAATTCGTTGGAATTGCCAAAAACCTTGAACATTGAAATTATAAGGATCAAATAGATCAAAGTTTTTCTTGTAGTTTACAGAACATCATATACTACATGGTTCTTGCTTGGATGGTATCCTTTCAGCTCTTAGTTTAAAGGTCTTGCATTTGAAGTTCAAACCCATGGATTTTTCCAACAAGACGGAACTCATTACATATACATTGCACAAGATAGAGAATTTCATAAATAATATGAACATTAGAAGAGTTTCAACCATTAAAGATGTTTTTATAGATAACCAAACTGTTTACAGACTATCAACAAGCCCAAAATGATTTATAACATACGATAGAATATCAGCAATATCAATCTGATTTGAGTGGCCAAAGGATTGTTAACAACTTTTCTCATAAAGAAAATTGATAAAATAAACAGCTCAAGAAATTGTAAGACAAAATCAGATCAAAGGAGTAGTGTACCAATAATAAGGCTAGACTGATACCAGATTTTTTCCTTCCACAATAACACGATTCTGAGAGCGAATGACTCGCTTGATGACACCCGTATCGCCCTTGTCTTTTCCCCTTATTATCATCACCTGCAAATGAGATCGGAAAACAGTTCACTTATATATATGGATACAGAATGAGGCAAAAGAGCAAATGATCTTCATCGTCCTCACATTATCTCCTCTGAGAACCTTCCAGTGCCTAATCAGTTTCTCAGCCGCTTTCCAACCCATTTCTATCAAATACAGCTATCTTCAGCAGCAATGCACAAAATTAAAACCAAAACATGTATAATCTTTCAATGGTTGATCAGCATCACACTTACTTCAAATCTCAAAGCATAAGAATAAGCAATCAAATACTATCAAATATCATAGCCTGAGAACTAAGCACAAGCATTTGCTTGCTTTTCAATTCTATAACACCACCATTTCCTTATTTCAATAAGTGTGCATCGAATAGTAAGATGACCTTCAAAGACTCATATTTTCATTTCGGTTCCAGGGTTAACCTAGATTTTGGGTTTTTTGCCTATTAACGTAAAATCTATAAAACAACAGCTATTTTATACTTGTGATAACAAAACCACACTTCACATTTTCACGATGGAAATAATTGTTCATGACAAAAAAAAAACGTCGCATGCCAAGTAAAGAAGCAAGGAAGCCGAAACCAAATGCGCTCCAACTAGTCAATATCTTTGAGACATTTTATCAAGCATTTGATATTCATACTATGCTTAACAGGAAATAAACAGGAAAAGTAGGTGCAAATACGCGAGCAAGAATAAGCTCGAACCTCAAGTAAAGTAAAATTCGAAATGCTTACTGTTAACTTTGTGTCCGTACGGGCTGTGTGTGAAGTTCGAGCGGAAGGGCTAGGCAGAAGAAGACGACGAAGTAAGAGTTGTCAGAGGTTTTAGGGGAGGGGTGAGCCAAGGAACACAACGATTTCTGTGGGCTTGAAGTAGGGCCCAACTCGATTCCTTCGGGCCAAATTCTTAGAAAGCAAAACATTTGTTACAAATAATTTTGATACGGTGTCGTTTCCTCTCTTTTTTGGCAAGCATTTGGTGTGGGATTGTGCAACATTAACTATTAAGACATTGCTTGAGAGGGTTTGTTCAGATACTGATTTCTATGTACGTGGAGCAATTGTCCATTGTATTGGTGGGCTCCACCTCTATTAGAGAGGTGGTATGAATGTGGTATGAAAAATGTGGTAAGCCTAGCATTTTCCTAAAAACAATCCCATGAAAAAATGAAAATGACAAGTCCAAATCTTTAGAAACTAGAAAGTTGAAACTATAAGGACTAAAATGGTAAAACCGACAAATTATAAAGACCAAAAGTTAATGTATGCCATGATTAATTAAAACTACCCACATTTCGAGCCTATAAATACAATCCCGTGACAAAAATCTCAATATTTTTTTTCTTTCAAATATCTCCATCCAAATGGAGTCATATGATATCCACCATTAACAATTAAGACGTTTTTGGAGAGGGTTTGCTAAGATACTTGTTTCTATATATGTGGAGCAATGTCTAAGAGCATTCACAATGAGCTCCCTAAGAGCATCCACAATGGCCTCTCTAAATCATATTTTTAGACAAATTTTATGGAGAAATTAGAAAAATACAACTCCAATAATGCTCCCTATCCACTTCTATGTGTGTGGAGCAATGCCTAATACAATAAACCTACCCACATTTCAAGCCTACAAATACAATCCCATGACAAGTATAACTCTATGAGTAAGATTTTCTCATTAAGATGGCAAAAGCATTGTCACTCTTCAGCTTTATGATCATCTTTGTCCTCCTCGGTTTAGGTACGTCATATCACAAGCATCCATTTATGCCAATAGGTTCGGAATATTTAAACTATCGCTTGTATTAAGAAAATCACAAAGTCTTACTATCGTGATTGTCATTTGTGTAGCTACTAATGCGATGGGTATGAGACTCCAGAATACAAATGTCGTCTGCACACAGTGCAATCAGATATTTATGCGATATCAATAAGAGCATCTCCAAGGGAGATGTCAAATACCAAACATCGAATTTAAATTTGATGGCTGATGTGGCAATTTGACATCTTACATAGCTTTACACTCCACCCGATATGTCAAATTAAATTATTATTTTATTACATTTTAGTGTTGATTTATTTTTAATTAAAAAGAATAGAAAAGAAAAAATAATAAAATATTTATTTGACATCTTGCTTTTGGGATGTCAAAAATAACATCTCAATCTTCAGCCTTCATTCCACATCAGCTTTGACACATCGGTTGGAGTGTGTGAGATGTTATTTCTAGCTGTTAAATGTCTATGTGGCACTTTTGACATATCGGTTGGAGATGCTCTAAGGGAGCTGAGTACATCAAACGTTGCTTGATAAGATGTGAGTCCATAGAGCCCGATAACTTGGCACGTTGAACAACAGCCCCTGGCACCAACACATTTAATATGACACATTGTTTTTTATCTTTCTGAGAATTAATGATAGATACATTTGCATTATTGCATTGGAGAGGGGGCACTTATCCTGGGATTCGAAAAAAGGAAGATACGCTTGGAAGATGAAAACATAAGTGGGACATGGGACATTCCAGAAATGTGGTTTTATATTTATTATATTGAAATCATATGTGATCAAAAAATTGAAAAGTAAACACAAATAATGGTGACCGGCCAACCACTGTCACCAAAATCAATTTGGTGACTCAAGCCTTCTGTTTTTGTAGTGACCATTAATTTAACAAATAAGACGTTGTTTGGGAGGATTTGGCAAGATACTTATTACAATCTCATCCTAACTTATTCCTTTGTTAAAACGTCAATCCTCTTCTGGACTTTCAACCTCCTCCCCCTTTAAATTATCTCTCTCCTCCGTCCAGACCAAGCTCTTCTCCATCCTCAGCAATACCTCTGCCACTCTCCTCTTTTGTTATTGAATACAAATTTGGGTTGTAAAACCCAAAGCTTTTTGTAACCCAAAAACAAAAACCCCAAGGTTAAGAGATGGTCAAAGCAGTGTCAATCTTCAGTTTTATGATGATCCTTGTCCTCCTTGGTTCAGGTAATTAATCTCTCTCTCTCTCTCTCTCCCCTATATATTTATCCATGTATGTTAATTAGTGATTAACATTCATTTAAATGCGTAGAAATGCGTCTATGCTAAATGTAAAGCCTTAGTTTCCCTTGTAAAAATAACAATATCTTACAATCGTGATTGTCATCTGTGCAGCTACTAATGCGATGGGTATGGGACGCTCGATTACTCCTAATTTCGTTTGCAGACAGGTGCAATCAGATATCCCATGTGACTCAGCTGAGCACGCCAAACAATGCTACGCAAGATGTGTGTCCAAAGATCCCGATAACAACCCACTGTGCGTAACAGCCCCGGGAACCAATGTATCATTTTGTACATGCACAGTTCCTTGTTAGATCAATGTTTTTGTTCTCACTTCATTTGTATGTCTCTTCTTGGAATATCAATAAGAATGAAATAAAATGTTTTTCGTAATATAAGCAAATATCCATCATTCATTCTATTTCTTTTTTAATACAAGCGATAATTTATTTTGAATTAATCTAAATTACGAGAAGGGAGATTCAAATTCGGGTGCATAATGGGGAGCACATCTGCTCTAACCAACTACGAGAAGGGGAATTCATCTCGCAATTTTGTTTTCATCAAAGTGAATTAAGATTGCGGAGTTTGGTGTTGAAGAAAAGAAAAAAACGATTTATTACATCTTGCGAATTAATACACTATTCATGATATTGCATATATATATATATATATATATATATATATGAAAAACTCCTCCACAAATTAATACATTATCAGTGGAATGAAAGCTCGTTAATTAATTTATTTCATATCGCTCTTCCTCTGTGGTTGTAAGTGCTTGCTCCTTGGCTATTACACAAGCTCAAACTTTGATATTCTTCAGCCTTTCTGCAGCACAATGCAAAACCCCACAATTAACCTTAATTTCGTACATTTTCCTAGTAAGTTCTAACAATTAAGTATGATATTGATCGATACGCGTATTCCAAATTTATAGTTTGACGATATAAACATTTATCTGATAACATAAAACAGGGAAGAAGAAAACTTACCGGCACTCTCTTTACTTGCACATTCAGTGTCACAGCTCATCTCACAGTAAGTCTGACCGTGGGCGTCGCCGTCTTCACATTCCTTCAAGCAGTTGCCGAAGCACTCCTTGTATTCCTCGTGATCACCGTCTTGTGCCTCAGCCTCCCGAATGTGGAGTGCTGCAACAACCACCACCAACATGAGAAACACTGCAACAAGCTTCTTGGCCATTCTTCCTTCTCTAATTGGCTCTTGTTGTTGTTTAACTTTCTGTTTTGATAATTATTTAATTAATTAACTTCTTCTCTGTTTCAGTGTTTCTCAGTGACTTGGTTGATATATATAGGGATTTTACCGCTTATTTTAGGCAATACTGGTGGTTGATATTGTTCTTGCATATGAGTAGGGTTGGGAGCGGTGTTCAAATGCCTTCTGAAATTGCACGAAGAAACGGTCTTTCCGCCCCTTTCTTTGGCCCCAAACTTTTTTTCACAAAAAGCGGTATTTCACAGATTTATAAGACAGTTTCATAAAAATTGTGTAATCTCAAAAGTTGAAACCGAGAATGAGCTGAGCCAAAAATGTATATAAAGCTTACGCAGTAGAGATTAAAATCAATCCCAAAACAATATAAAATGATTTTAAGATAGAAATTTCATTACCAGATGTGAATATGATGTATACCATACAAAAAGGCATATATAGAGCCACGTAGAAATTTCACTAAAAGGATTTACAAACCATAAGTATCCCTAAATGTTGAAACCGAGAATGAGTCAAGCCAACAATGTATATAAAACTTACACAGATTAAAATCGATCCCAAAAAGATATGACCTTAAGAGACACACTTCTATTACAAGATATATGAATGTGATATACCATACAAAACGGCATATGCATAAGAAGGGTAGCAGCAATAACTATCAGTAGGACTTATAAACCACAAGTCCCAAAATTATGAGTAGGAGAGAGGGTGGGGAAACATAAGATGGAGTAGATGCTGATGCTGATGGGGTCAGTCGACCACTTCCTGTTGGAGATTTTGTTGGAGCTTCTGATTCTACTGATGGAGATGTTGGCTGCAGATCATCAACTGTCCCAGATTGTGGTGCAGGAGCTTCTGCTACTGCCTTAGAAGCTGCACACCAGAAATGTTTGACCAAATTGACCAATGCCTTCAGAAGTCAGAAAAATAAAATGAAAAGAAACAATTAGCAAATTTGTAATTACCTCTTGGACTTAAAGGGGAAGAAGCTGTTGGTGGGGGAGTTGGCCCTAGTAAGGCAGGACCTGGAGCTGCTAAGGGACTAGCAGAGGCTGCAAATTAAAAAGAAATTTCGCACAATTAGCTTAAAAGTATAATTCAATTGGTCGCACTAAGATTAAATTAAAATTAGAAAAATTGCAAGATTATGTGAGTGGCAGAGCACCTTTGCATTGTAATGGGACGCCCCCCACGTTACAAGCTCGAGGAAGAGAGAGGGCCAGGGTTCGGTTAATGGGCAGTTGGAATGGGACACTGGCAGTTATAAGAAGACAAGCACAGTCCGTGCCGGTGCCCATTAACGACTTTATCGAACTGCAACAGCTCTGTGTTGGTGACGTGCCATTGCTGCTGCTCCCAGTGATATAATTTATGCATGGGGTGAAGTTGCTGATCATTGAGGCTGTGCATGGCGTGCTAATCTGCCCGTTAATCGATGTCAACGAAATGATTAAGAGGGTAATTGGGATAGTAATCAATCGAAAAGCCTTGAACAATTCCATGAGTTAGGCTTCAATGGAATACTGAGGCTTAGAACTTAGTTGAGTTTGGCTCAAGCTGAGGAGACAGTTTATAGTTAGTTGAAAACAGAATTTTCTTCATTAAAAAAAAATAGTGAAAAAGAAAATAATTTTAAAAAAGAGTGGTTTTGAAGTGGGTTTTGGAGTTCAACTACTTTAACTAACTTCTTTCATAATTGCAGGATTTGCTTTTACTTGAATGAGGAAAGTTCTAGGTATTGGCTATCCTCTGAACAGAGCTTTGGGGCAGAGGATTGGTGTTCTAACTATGTGAACTTGATTCAAAGTCTATATGATTTGTCCCTCTCAAACATAAATTGTTTGTTTATTATCTCACTTTTTTGCCTAAACATGATAATTGTTATTTTAGTGGGTCCAAATTTAAGGTTTAGGTAATCTAAAAATGGGGCAAATCATTAATTGATTTGAACAATAGCACTTTTCATATCTTATGTCCTAAAAAGCAGTTTTTGGTTGCCAACAAACAGCAATTCAGTAGAAGTTGGCCACCCAAATACACCAATTTATTTGTCTCTTAGGGAAAAAAAAAAGTTTCCTATATAAATCCCATCTCATCCCTTCCCTTTCCTCACTCAAACACCGGATATCTAATATACAACATAGGGTAAATTTCACTTCACTACTCAGATATCTATTATACAATATTCATCTCCCCAACTTTTGAAACTATTCTTTCAACAAGTAGAGTTAAAGATATGGCATTCAAAGGAATTGAGATGGCTCTAGCCCTGGTCCTTGGGTCCATGCTTTTGGGTGGAGCCATGGCTCAATCAGGCTGTACCACTGCACTCACAAGCCTGGCACCATGCCTCAACTATGTTACAGGAAACTCATCAAACCCATCATCTTCATGCTGCTCACAGCTTTCTAATGTTGTCCAGTCATCACCACAGTGCCTTTGCTCATTGCTCAATGGCGGCGGCTCCTCATTGGGTATCACCATAAACCAAACCCTTGCTCTGTCTCTTCCTGGTGCCTGTAAAGTCCAAACTCAACCCGTTAGCCAGTGTCAAGGTAAGAAGGCCAAATTGTTTAAGTATTGACGTAACAATAAGGTTTTTTTATAGAGAACAAGAAAAGGAACATTGAGTTAAATTGAATATTGTTGTAGCAGGTGCCAATGGACCTACAACAAGTCCATCAACTCCTTCAGCAAGTTCCCCTGCAGATCCCTCCAATCAAACACCTTCAGATGCTTTTACACCAGAAGCTGCAATTTCGCCTTCGGCCTCAGACATTCCTTCAGCTTCAGGTATATATCTTCCGTAACTAATTAGTCTAGAATGTTATGTTGTTATACTGTGAATTTCGGTCTAAATATAACAAGTGACATGTATATGCCCCCTATCTTTTGATGCTGAGTTGTAGCTTTGGGTGAATGCAGGAGAAGGGTCGAAAACAGTTCCATCCACAAACGGAAACACATCTGATGGAAGCAACATCAAAGCACCCCTTCACTTTGTTCCCTTGCTCCTTTTCGTTATCTCTTGTGCTTCTACTCTCACCAGTTTTTGAGTCTCCTACAGAGATTTGGGGCCTGTTCTAGTTCTACACATATTTCATTACCATTTCTTTTCAATTTTATTTGGGTGTTCGTGGAGATGATCATTATTTTTTCTTTGGAATCTTGGCGATGGAGATCACTATTTGTACTTAGAGTGTGTGTTTTTCTTTATATCATTTGTTTGTACTTACCTATTGACAAATTATAATGAAGTATGAGTGCGGTACTCTTGCTCCCTTTAAATTTCATGTTCAACCATAAATCCATAATCTACCTCTGCAGAGTGCCAAATGGCAAAAGATCAAAACCGATTAAAATTGAGTTAGATAGATTTGATCAGTCAGTTTTGACAGATTGAATTAGATCTTGAACAACCTTAATACTCAAGCATGTGAGAATATGAAGGTAAATAGTCCCACATTGGAAAGTTGAGAAATCTAGCAAGAGCTTATAAGGAGTTGGGCTACTCCCCTCATTGCCAATTGGTTTTGGGGTGGAAACTCAACTTCCTTCATGGTATCACAAAGTTTGCAGTGAAAAATAAGACAAAATTCAAATTGAGGACAAAAAATCTTCTAATATGGGTTATTAATTTAGCATATAATAAGCACAACAGCCGTCCATAGAAAAGCTGGATAAATTGCTTGACGAACACGTTTGAGCAGCTCAAATGATGGGATCATGCTCCTAAATTCCACATAAACCCTAAAAACGAAGGTTTTGAATCTTCGCTTCAAGTTCTCAAATTTCACAAGCAGCACCATAAAAATGAAGGCAACCAACCACTGCTCCAACGTACTAATTCAATAAAAACCAAATGGTTAAAGTAAAGCAAAAACTGGTTACGTCTTCGAACCACATTTTGGGGCCCAGACCCAATCGAGTCTAGTCCCACAATGGCAGTGACCCATAAATCTCAAAAAAGAAAAAAATGATACTTGTAGAGTATTTTCAATTTTTTTTTATAATTATAATTCATTCAAGTAAATATGCATATTCAACTATGTGAACTACCAAATGGTCCAAATCTGCAAGGGGCTTGTACCTAAGCGATTAAGTATTTACTTTTGCAATCAAGGTTTTAAGATCCTTAATATCGCTTATATGAAAAAAGAAAATGGTACAAATCTACCAGAGGAGGTTGGCCTGCCTTTACTGGACACTCGCAATAAGCATCACATTTTCTTCTATGACCTTAACCACATTTGATTTTTAGTACACACGTAGACATGCATAGGGCAAACTTTATTGACTTCCAATTCTTAACTGTTAAGAGTCCCCCTCCTAAAGTTCTAGTTTAACAAATAAAATCTGTTGCAAAGTAGGAAAAGTTGGCAACCCAATTAGAAAGCCATGCCAGCTGCCTCTCTTTGGGTCACAATTTCCCCCTTATATATAAACCACAAACCCCTCTTGCTTATACAAAAAAAACCCATTACCAAGAACTTGTTCATCATTTCACATTTCACAGAAATATAGTGTCACTTGCAAATCAAAGCCACTCTCACTCAAGAATAAAAAAATGGCAGTTAGGAGGATTGAGATTGTGCTAGCTTTGGTCCTTGTAGTGGCTCTGCGGGAAGGCACTGTTGATGCTCAATCAAGCTGCACCAATGTGATCATCAGCATGTCCCCATGCCTTGATTACGTAACAGGAAACTCATCAACCCCATCTTCCTCATGTTGCTCACAATTAGCTAATGTGGTCAGCTCACAGCCAAAGTGCCTCTGTGAGGTTCTTAATGGAGGCTCCTCTTCCGTTGGTGTGAACATCAATCAGACTCAGGCATTGACCCTCCCCTCTGCTTGCAAAGTCCAAACACCCCCGATTAGCCGATGCAGCGGTATATAAAAAAAATTACAAAATTCAAAAAACATAATGTATGTGATTCTGCAGGGTCTATAAACTTATGAATTAACCTCTGGTCATGATTTTGCAGGGTCATCTCCACCAGGTTCTCCCTCAGGAACACCAACTTCTCCTTCAGGTAACCAATTTGATTTCCAAAATCACATTTCTTTACACTAGATTCTAATCGATTTACAATTTAACATATTAATCACTGTGTGTGTGTGTGTGTGTGTGTGCAGGGAGTGAATCTAAAACTGTACCATCACCATCAGATGGAAATTCTAACAAGATGGCATTTCCTCTGCTGTTCTTCTTGCTCTTCATTGCATCATATGCTTCAACTTCCACAGCCAACTAAGCTCCTCTTCCATGAATGTTTATGTAGCAAGACTCATGGGACTATATAGTATAGGGTGCCATAAACCTTTTTTTTTTTTTTTTTTTTTTTTTTTTTTTTGCATATTGTTAGGTGGCTGATTGGTTTCTGTTTTTTGTTAATCCTTTGCTTGGGGTTCAGCCCCTCATGGAATTCAAATAAAGTAGTCACAGATTTTCTACTTTGATATATATATATATATATATGTGTGTGTGTGTGTGTGGACACAAGCAAATCAAGCACTGAAATCACAAAAATCAATTAAGCTGTCACCACTAACACCTTGGTGCTATGAAGAAGCCTCCAATGAAGTCAATTTGCAATAATATGAATGGGGGAGCTGAAAACAACCACCATAAACTTGAACAATGGTAACTCAAGAAAAAATGTTTGTAGCAGTTGGTTGCTTTGCTACACAATTAAACTTGAACAATGGTAACTCTGAAAAAAAGGTTGTTCTTTTCTCTTGCTAGCATTGTTGTTCCTCAACCTTGAAATAGAAGAAATGGTGGGCAACATGAACATGACTAAGAAGAGTACTCCCGCCACAGAAATTACTATTATCCCAAAGGGTGGATAATTTTTTCTTGCCACCTATATATAAAAAAAGAAGGCTGCTTATAGCAAAGATTAAAAGAGGGAAAAAAACTCCAATAACACCAACAACAAGAAAGACATAGGAAGAATTAGGGTTTCAAAGGTCATGACTAAGAAGACTTGGGCCGGACCTCTCGGGCTTTTTTTATTTTTAGGTTGGGCCGAGGTTTCAAAGTGGCCGGCCCTAGACAAGCTTGGCGGACCGGGCCTTTTTTATTTTTTCCTAAGTTTTTATATCTCTTTGTCACAATATTTATATGTAGGGGAAAAGTTTCCCAATATTTATATCTATGATCAATAATAGAAGCAAAACAAAACATAGGGAGAAAAGTTTCCCAATATTTATCAAACTTTTATCTTCATAGCAACAAGCATTTTCAATTATTGGATAATGAGAGTATACATTAAATGCTTCATGAATATTAATTAAGCATGGAATTACATGACTAGATGTTAGATAATATACACCATAACAAACCTTTGTTAAATTATCATGAATGAACATCATTGGGCCAACTTTATTGTTATGTTTATTATTCAATTTATTTATGGATGGGTTGGGCCTAGACGGGCTCAAATGGGTTAGGCAGAGGTTTCAAACCCTTAGCCCAAATTTTACCCATTCTTAGAGCGAGTCGGGCTAATCGAACCTAAACATTAGGCTGGACCAATCTTTGGGCCATCAGGCTTTGAACTACCCACTTCAGAGCCCATAGGCCGTGAGACAAATGATGATTATGGGTGTTACCTAATAAATCAAAGAATGTTCAACTTGGTTCCCCCCTTTGTAAATTGTTGAACATCCGGCAAGTCCGCAGTCCATATCATGCAGCCAATTCCTTGCACAAATGCATATGCAGTACAAGAACAATTCTTAAGGCATGTCTCCTCACAACCCTTATCTGGACCAGGAACCAAGTGTGCAAAAGCAGATAACTTGGCCCGCCTTAGCACTACAAACCTATCTTCATCATTTTCCTCTGTACTATTTCTTTGACACTTTAATAGGTCTTCCTAGAACACCAATCTAACCAATTTCTTCCCATCCATTGGCTCGAGTCCCTTGGTTGAAATCCACCCATACAAGAGCAATTCAAAATCGAATCATCCAATGCACTATACACCGCAAACTTGCCACACTTATTGAAAATTGTAAAGTTCACAGTCATTGGACTTTTCTCCGTTTGAAACAAGAAAGGAGAAAATGAATACTAAAAAGAAAAATTGGAACTTAGAAATTGGGTTTTTGCAAGAGATGAGTAAAGTTCCCATCATGTGATTTGACAAACTCTTTGCAAATGTGCATCATTTGGTCTAGCTAATTTTATAACCACATTGAGAATTGATGATGATATAGTTCATATTCACATTATCTGGATGGTTAAGAGTGGTTGTATCTAGCTCATATTAATTTCAAGAGAATGGATGATAACATAGCTTATATTCACATTGATCCTTACATTGAATAATGATGTGCAATATTAGTTTCATCTTACATAATAAGGAAAATCCCATTAATTTAATTTACCAAAATTAACAACTTGCTAGCTCATTAGTCATTTCCTTGTTATTAGCCCCTAAGGGTTGAATAGCTCGGGTCGGGCTAGTCCTATCCCAAATAGGCTAAGTCTAAAGCCTACTTAAGGGCCAAGAATTTTCGAGTTTATGGACGGGCCAATGAGCCGGGCCTATATGGACATATCAAATAGGCAACACATAATTAATTAAATGCAATGATTAGTAATACTAGTTTACTTTTATAAATATATTAAATGCAATTATAACTACTGTTAATATTAAAAAAAGTCATTATATTCTTTCAAATCTTCTAATTAAATACAAGCATAAAAAATATTAGTTTAATTTATAAGATTTTATTTATTAACTTAAATATTGGGCTGGGCCAGGTCGTCCGTGAGCTTATAAATTGTGGCTTAGACCCTACCCTTTACAGTACAAGAACAACTCTTAAGGCATGTCTTCTCACAACCCTCATCTGGACCAAGAACCGAGTGTGCAAAAGAAGGCAACTTGGCCCGCCTTAGCACTACAAACCTATCTTCATCATTTTCCTCTTTACTATTTCTTTGACACTTTAATAGGTCTTCCTAGAACACCAATCTAACCAATTTCTTCCCATCCATTGGCCCGAGTCTCTTGGTTGAAATCCACCCATAAAATAGCAATTCAAAATAGAATCATCCAATGCACTACACACCGCAAACTTGCCACACCTATTGACAATTATAAAGTTCACAATCACTGGACTTTTCGCCGTTTGAAACAAGAAAGGAGAAAATGAATACTAAAAAGAAAAATTGGAACTTGGAAATTGGGTTTTTGCAAGAGATGAATAAAGTTCCCATCATGTGATTTGACAAACTCTTTGCAAATGTCCATCATTTGGTCTAGCTAATTTTATAACCACATTGAGAATTGATGATGATATAGTTCATATTCACATTATCTGGGTGGTTAAGAGTGGTTGTATCTAGCTCATATTAACTTCAAGAGAATGGATGATAATATAGCTCATATTCACATTGATCCTTACATTGAATAATGATGTGCAATATTAGTTTCATCTTACATAATAAGGAAAATCCCATTAATTTAATTTACCAAAATTAACAACTTGCTAGCTCATTAGTCATTTCCTTGTTATTATTAGCCCCTAAGGGTTGAACAACTCGGGTCAGGCCAGTTCTATCTCAAATAGGCTAAGTCTAAAGCCTACTTAAGGGCCAAGAATTTTCGAGTTTATGGGCGGGCCGATGAGCCAGGGCTATATGGACATATCAAATAGGCAACATATAATTAATTAAATGCAATTATTAGTAATACTAGTTTACTTTTATAAATATTAAATGCGATTATAACTAATGTTAATATTAAAAGAGTCATTATATTATTTCAAATCTTCTAATTAAATACAAACATAACAAATATTAGTTTAATTTATAAGATTTTATTTATTAACTTAAATATTGAGCCGGGCCTTAGCACTACAAACCCATCTTCATCATTTTCCTATGTACTATTTCTTTGACACTTTAATAGGTCTTCCTAGAACACCCATGTAACCAATTTCCTCTCATTCATTGGCCCAAGTCCTTTGGTTGAAATCCACCCATACAACTGCAATTCGAAATCGAATCATCCAATGCATTACGTGAAACAAACTTGCCATGCCTATTGACAATTGTAAAGTTCACAATCACTAGACTTTTCTCCATCTGAAACAAGAAATGAGAAAATGAAAAGGAAAAAGAAAAATTAGAACTTGGAAACTGGGTTTTTGCAAGAAATGAGTAAAGTTCCCATTGTGTGATTTGAAAAACTCTTTGCAAACGTGCATCATTTGGTCTAGCTAATTTTATAACCACATAGAGAATTGATGATGATATAGTTCATATTCACATTATTTTGGTGGTTGAGAGTGGTTGTGTCTAGCTCGTATTAACTTTAAAAGAATGGATGATAATAATGTGCAATATTAATTTCATCTTACATAATAAGAAAAATCCCATTAATTTAATTTACCAAAATTAACAACTTACTAGCTCATTAGTCATTTCCTTATTATTGGCCCCTAAGGGTTGAACTGCTCGGGTCGGGCCAGTCCTATCTCAAATAGGCTAAATCTAAGGTCTACTTAAGGACCAAGAATCTTCGAATTTTTGGCCAGGCTGATGAGCCGGCCTATATGGCCATGTCAAATAGGCCACATATAATTAATTAAATGCAATGATTAGTAATACTAGTTTATTTTTATAAATATATTTATAATTAATATTAATATTAAATGTGTCATTATATTCTTTCAAATCTTTAAATACAAGCATAACAAATATTAATTTTATTTATTAACTTAAATATGAGCTGAGCATGGCCGCCTATGGGCTTAGAAATTGTGGCTTAGAACCTATCCTTTACAGTACAAGAACAACTATTAAGGCATGTCTCCTCACAACCCTCATATGGACCAAGAACCAAGTGTGCAAAAACAGGCAACTTGGCCTACCTTAGCATTACAAACCCATCTTCAACATTTTCCTATGTATTATTTCTTTGACACTTCAATAGGGTCTTCCTACAACACTCATCTAACCAATTCCCTCATATCCATTGCCCCGAGTCCTTTGTTTGAAATCTAACCATACAACTGCAATTCGAAACCGAATCATCCAATGCACTACACATTGCAAAGTTGCCACACCTATTAATAATTGTAAAGTTCACAGTCACCGGACTTTTCTCCGTCTGTTACAAGAAAGGAGAAAATGAAGAGGGGAAATAAAATTTTGAACTTGGAAATGGGGTTTTTTAAATGAGTTTTTGCAAGAGATGAGTAAAGTTCTCATCATCTAATCTGACAAACTCTTTGCAGACATGCATCATTTAGTTTAGCTAATTTATAACCACATTGAGAATTGATGATAAGATAGTTCATATTCACATTATCTAGGTGATTGAGA